GGAGAAATTTTTCCTGATGTAACAGAATTTCATCCCAAGCAACTATTTTGTTTGAACTGTAGAGATGCTATAAATCTGTCATTGTTAAACTTTTCCCATATTGTGGCGCACAATATGGGCTAAATAAATATCTGTTGAATGAATGGATTTCCTCTATGCTCTGACCAGTGGCTGAAAGTCAGACGTATCCCTGACACAATTAATTGCCACAGGCAGACCGGAGGGCTCTGAGTTCTGACCCTGTCCCTGATTTCAGTTTATTTTGGGTGGCTAATTATACCTTTATTCATTTACTCATTCATTTCATCCTGTAAACCACTTTATATACTTTCCTGGAAAAGCAAGAGGGGATAAAAATGTTCACGATTTGATTGTAAAATCCTACACTTTATGTTGACACTACAGCCTTGGCCAAAAGGATCTTAAACTGGTCAGGTTTCTATTCCTCTTCTGTCCTTCCCTCAAAACAATCACGGTTGAGTTATTTTAAAATTTTCTATTTTCAAAAGGTATTACTCATTCCTTTGACCCTACTATTGAACCGGTCCCTCTTCAAAAGCAGGGACGTGACAGTATTTCACGTATCTTTGGATGGGCCCAAAGAGCCAACATACAGCTGGACCAATCAATGCTGGAGTGTCTCACAGAACCGGCATCATTTTGGAAAATGAATGAGAGACATTTAAGTTTAAAATTGCGAAGAAAGGTCGAATACTAATTTAGAGGCTCTGGAGAAATACAGCACGGGGGTAAGACAGAGGAGCTTTACTGAAACCAAAGTGCAGCTCCGGGGTGCTTGAGCGCATTGCTGTAAGCAAGGCGGCGAGGGAGGAAGCTATGAAGTCCTGGTGCTCTGGCGCCCAGCTCAACCCCTCCCGGTCGTGTGCACACCACCCTCACACTCTGTACTACATTTTTTTCCATACCTCAACAGAGGTGAGTGCCAATAACAGACATTTAGTTCAGTGCCTCTAAAACGAGACTAAGCTCATGCCAGGATCAGTTTTTGCTCTGGTTTGTTTCCTATTTGCAATAGGAGTGTCTTGCCACAAGACAAAATTACAATTCTAAGACTTCTTGATAAACAGCTTCAGTTTTCTTACTAGGCTCATAACTTCTTTTAAAAAATTCTCAATTCCCTTCCATATTTATCACATGAGAATTATTTAATGATGCTATAAAGACCATACATGCACATACTGTGTAAAAAAATCACAAATGGGCAGTAGGATGACAAGGAGAAAAGAAAGCACCACAGATACTCAAGCTGAATATGATACCTCTTCCTCTGAGTGGCTGTCAAAGTGTTTTGATCAACTACAACACTTTTCCATAGACACTTATTTTAAAAATAGATGAACTGTTAATTGACAGTGAGAGTTGTTTTCTTATACAGATACTTTGCTATAAAATATTTATGGTAAAAAGATTTGATGCGTTCTACTCTCTGAGGAAAAGTATGCTTAATATTAATGCTGACACCCCTTTGTCCCAAAGAGCTAGTGCTGGTGCCAACTACAGGGCTCCAGAGAGTTATGGAAAAGAACCTGTTAGCTTCACTTACTGGCATGGAAGGGCAGCCAGGACTCCCTGTAGAGTGAAAAAAAGAACACACAGAAGAATGAGCAGCGTGATCGCTAAAACCAAACTAAAAATGCGCTTATATAATTGTGAGAGAGCTGTTATTGGGTTGGTCAAAAAGTTCGTTTCATTTTTTTCATAAAATAAAGGACATATTTTTCATTTTCACCACTAACTTTATTGATTTGGACATTCTGAGTATGTCGGCTAGCTCCCACTATTGGCTTCTAGTGGGTGGAGGCCAGGGGTGCTGCTCAACACCCTCCAAAGCATAAGACAGCCCCATAGCAAAGAATTACTTGGCCAAAATGTCAGCAGTACCAAGAAACTTTGCAAACCACTTTTGACATGTTTGATCAGTCACAGCACCTTCTCCATACACTGCACCTATGTGTGTGTGTGTGTGTGCGTGCGCGCGCGCGTGCTTCAGCTGCATTTTTACCTTCTTGAAATAATAAAGCATATTACAGCAAAAATGTTGCACATTTTATTCCATCCTCAATATTAAAATGTCTGCACAAAAAAATCACCAATTTGACAAGTTTTTAAAAAATGCGAACTGGTATGACAGCTCTCACAATACAATCTAATAAAACTGTTTCAAATGAAGTTAAAGACAACTAAGCACTACTAGAGCCACCTTATGGAAAAAACCAAACAAACTTTTTAGCCAACCCAGTACATCTGTCCAGCATGTGCCTCTCCCATGCCCATCTCCTTTCTGATCAAGTCTTCTTTCCTACAGGGAACCTCCTGCGTTTTGGAGCTGGGCTCACCCCATCTCACCCAGAGTGGGCAAAGGACTTGGACCTGGTCCATGAGAGACATCCTGTGATTGCTCAGTGAGCCTTGCCAGGATGCTAAGCTGGCAGCCCTGCAGGAGGCCATATTACCTCCAGGAAGAAAAACCCTCACCATGAAGCCAAGCAGAGGCAAGCAGGATCAAGAACCAGAGACACAGCCCTTAGACACTCTCTGAGTGCCTAGAGCCAACTGTTCTTATTACACCATTCAGGATTTGTATTACCTTTTCAGTGCCTGGGGGTTTAAACGGGATTTTAGTAACTTTCTGTGGAAAACTTCCTAATACAAGAACTGTAAGAGAGATGAGATGCAATGTTGCTAGCTTTGAAGAAGGAGGGTCCAAGAGCCAAGGAATGCAGGCAGCCGCGAGGAGCTAGAAAAGGCAAGGACGCACATCCTCCCCTAGAGGTTCTGGAAAGGACCAAGGCCCTGCAGATGCCTTGAATCTAGCCCAGTAAGACACATGTTGACTTCTAGAGAACTGCAACATGATAATAATTATAATCATAAAAACTGGTGTTGTTTTAAACCATCAAAAATAATTTCCAAGTACAGAAAGGTGTGGAAAGTTTCTAGAAAAATTTCATAGTGTTATTTTTCTGGAATGGAAATGAGGATGAAATAAGAAAAAGAGGGGGTTATCGTTTTTTAAAGAAAAAGTATGTATCATTTTTGTTAGTTTTAAAAACTAATTTTAAACATGTCTAAGGATGGAACCAGAATTAAAATCTAAGAATTATAGGTATTATCAGCTACCCAGGCAAGTCAAAACAGCAGCTGCTTCACAAATCCAACAGGGCAGCAAGGATGTGGCTTGTGAAGAATTCCAACCAGCACAGTAAGTGTGCTGTGTGACACAGGGGGTCAGCGAATGAGCTCACACAGCCACATCACACCACACACCCTGTTAAACCAGGTCCATCCAGCAAGCCCAGTCCCCCTGGAAGGCTTTCCCCTACTTACATGTATTTGCAAAGCTGATTTTGAAGGCAAGGCTGGAGAAGGCAGGGAAGAGAAGCCAGAATAGCAATTGGCCTACAATTTAGCCCACTTTTCAATAGAAAAATCAACAAATTGCCAACAAATTGCTATGCTAATGAAGAATTGCAGGATCTGTAATGAGCATTTATTGTAAGAGAAAAGGCATATTCATTTATGCCGCTCTGTAGCACTAGCTGCCATTCAGGAGGTCCCCTGCTGAATTTTAAAGGGCTTCACACAGAGAAAGGGGAAAGCATGAGAGCTGGCTGCCCTGGTCATGTTTTTCTCCAGTCTTCCTCTTATACAGTGCAGAAGACATAATGCCAGAGAGTGAGCTGGCCTGTGTGTAAATCAACTGTGGCTTTTTACTAATCAATGTCCACTGCAGCAGCTACATTCAGTATGTTCAAATACTTTCAAATAGGAAAGCATCCGCCCCTCCCCTCCATTCACTATCATATTACACAATGGTGGTTCTCAGACGGAACACACCGCTTTTCAAAATTCATTTCATCTTACTGGGACAAGAGAAATAAATCTGGTACATTCTGCCGAGCCTGGGAGAAGGATGGTCCACTTGGCTACAAAGAGAAACACAGAATTCCTTTTGGTCTCCCTCAGAGGGATGTCTCAGGAGTATATGCCCAGAGGGCAACGACAGCCAAACAAGGGAGCCCAAACCACTTCACTGCTGTCTAGGCTGGTCATTCATCAGGAGTGACAGAGAGGTTAAAAGACAAGCCATTATTTGCTCCAGGGACATTTTTGCTTCAAACCAACAAGGGATTTTTATTTCTATTTTTCTCTGTTTCCGCCTTCTTTTCTACCTTCTTCCTCTTAGCTTAAAATGGATACGGATAGAGAGGAGAAAAATGGCCACACGTTTAGGCTACTGTGCAATGACTGAGGGATATGAATAAAACATACCAAGGATGCAAATAAGTCAGATCTCTTTAGCCTTTGCCATCTGTCTACCAGGAATAAGCTAAGGTCAACTTTAGATTCTAACTTAAAGACAAAAGTTAATTTGACAATTCAGGCAGAAAATGTATTTCAAATATAAAACTGAACTTTAAATTGTCTTTTGCTCTAAAAGCCAAAATTGTAAACATTTTAAGTTTATTAAAGTAGTTAGAGTGGTTTGAGATTGTACTTACTGCAGGTAGAAATCCTTTTAAAACACTTCAGTGGAGGATATCACTGCACTGTGGTCAGAAACCCTAGAAGCAAATTCTTCAAAGGCTTCTCAGTCATCTTACTATGTATGCACGTCTCAGTTCCTTCTTTTAGCTTCTTGTGGCTAGTTAGGGTCTAAGTCCCTTCCCCCATCAAAAATTAAAATAAATGGCTTAATAATTACATTAAACTGACCACTAACTTGACTGTGTGACACAAATAAAAATAATTTGTGCAACACCGCAAAACTTAACAAAGCATTTACCCAAATACAAGTTTCAATCTTTGTAACTACGTGACATATGTAGAGTGGGCATTATTGCCCTGCTTTCCAAATGGGAAAAAAAAAAAAAAGTGAAAATATCATTCTACTTATATCCCTGAAATATGTCCCTCTGACATCACCTGCCAGCTAAAGGTCAGACTCCTTGCTTGGCAGCATGTGATGAGTCACTCACCAACACACAGGATGTTGAAACAGAATCCTTGAGAAGTGGACTTGTTGACCAGCTGGTCAGGAAGACTGTCAAATCCAACATGGCCAGACAGAGACAAGTTTCGAAGCTCTTCATTCTGGAATTTCAGAGGGGAAATGTTTGAGAATCCATAAACTTTGCCACCTGGTTACCACACATGACGGACATGACCCCCTCCCTTCCTTTCTTCTTGGCATGCATGGGAAAAAGAGCTCCCCCTCTACCCACTCCCTCACTGTCTTCTACACAACGGAAGGTACTAATAACTCCAAAGCCATGCTCTTTCCACAAAACAGACTCTCTGACTCCCAAAGTGGACTATCTCCCAAGGTGCCTCATGCCCTGTTATATGTATATCGGTCCAGGGAAAGTTGACTTTCTAGAGGTGACTGTCTCAGATATGTATTAAGAAACATAAAAAACTCCAACCATTTTGATAGCTTTGAACACTCAAGAAAAACTTTTAAATTACTTTCAACCCAAAGTAAAAAATAAATAACACTCTTCCAGATACATTGAAGGAGCTTTGAGAAGCTCACAGTGGAGGAGACATGCTTGTACAATTATGGAGATTCTGTAACCACCATAATGCAACATAGTTAAAAACTACTCAGCACATGAATTGGTCACATCTCCTCCATTAGCAGCACAGGCTTCTGGGGGCTTCTCTGTTCTCCTCTACACAGCTCCTAGCACAGGCTCTCTTCATCCAGCCTCCTCACAGTTTACTGAAGGAGACTGGGTTAGGGAGTTACACATTTTAAAAGCTGGGTGATTTAGCCTTGGCTGGTGTAGCCCAGTTGGCTGGAGTGTCGCTGGTAACTGAAAGGTTGTGGTCCTATCCCTGGTCCAGGCATGAACGGGAGGCAGCCAATCGCTGTTTCTCCCTCTCCTCCTTTCCCTCTAAAAGCAATGAAAAACACAATGTCCTTGGGTGAGGACAGAAGTTGGGCGATGCAAAGAGGACCACTCCAAGACACTTCATAATTAAAAAGCTAAAGGTTAACGATAAAGAGAGACTTTTAAAGGCAGCAAGAGAAAAGAAATTTCCAGGCGGTTGCCAGATGGGGGTGTGGGGAGGGAGAATGGGTAAAGAGGTGAGAGGATTAAGGAGTACAAATAGGTAGTTGCAGATTAGCTGTGGGGGCGTTAAGAACAGTAAAGGAAATGGAGTAGCCAAAGAATTTATACGCATGACCCAAGGACACAAGGACACGAACAATGGTGGAGGGATTGCCTGAGGGAGTGGGGGGTGCTGGGTGGAGGTGGCAAAGGGGAAAAATCAGGACAACTTTAATAGCATAAGCAGTAAAATATAATTTTTTAAAAAGTTGGGTGGTTTATGCTGTTTTATAAAATGGTGCCAGTTGCCTTCTGGGCTTTGAAGGCCTCCTGCGGGTGTTGGAGATAAATCTGTGAATCCTCTTTCCCAGGAAAGCAGAAGTCAGCTCTGCTCCCTCAGTTGCGACACCACAGCTATGGTTTGGGATTCCCAAAACTAGATATTGAAAGCCTTCTTGAAAACAAGACTCGTGGTGATCTGGCTCTGTTGCCAGATGAACCTTATATTCAAAATACGGATGTTTGGGTAAGAAAAAGAGCTTTATTAAAATATGTATATTTGAAGCTCTTTTTACATAAAATTTACATATTTTATGTAAAAAGAAAAAGCTTTGCCCAGGGTCACTTAGACGTATTTTTTTAAAATAAAATACTGGTTTTTCATTATGGCTATTTGTGTTAGATAAAGATGAAAGTAATTTCTTTTAATAATAAAGGACTGAGACTCGATTTCCAAATTGCTACAACCACTGCTATATGGGCAGAAAAATGCAACTCCCTGAGTGCAGTGACTTTTAGCAAAAGTTTTATGAACAATATAATGTCTAAGGTCCTTGCCAGCTCTAAAATTCTGACTCTGTGAAAAACACTAAAAACCATTGCACTGCCTGGATACCATGGTGGCAGCTGCAGGTTTGAGGTCAATGGGACAGAAAACAGATGCTTGGTCTATGAATAGTTTCCTTGAAACCTGCCAACAGTGAATATGAGCCTCAAGAGGAGGCACTTATCCTAGAACAGGATGGCACGGTGGACAGCTCACCAAACAGCTTCCGGCGCAGGCCCCCGGGGGCAGCGGTCCTGGGGGCTGGCCAGGCCTCCCCAAACACCACGCGGCCCTAATGCTTCCTTATCCCCTGTCCCTTCCTCTTCAGATACCTCAGAGATTCAGAGAGCAAGGTTTTTCTGGGGCGTTTCCCACATCCGCCAAGACTTGAGGGAGGCGGGTTTGAAAGGAGTCTGGGTTATATTTAGAACTCTTTCCGTCACAGCTGTGCAGTGGCTGCCGTGTATCAAGCTAGCAGAGGCCACACCAGCCTGCACTTCAGTCGCATCACTGACTCAAACAGTCAGCAACTGGCATAAAAGGAGACGCTAGGAAGGCTAGGAAGAACCATCCTACACTCTCTCTCCTCTCTGCCACAAAAATTCTTTTAATTTCCAGGGATCAAGAGGGAGGAGTGGTTTATTGGTCTGGATTCTGGAGTGTTGGGTTTTTTAGACTCAGATATCCACCATGAGCCAATCCTGGTAAAGAATCGGAGTTAGTAATTATAGCTCTCATCCCAGAACCAATGCGCAGCATCGCACATTCTCACCATTTCCAAAACACGAGAAACCGCCCACACATCCACTGAGTATTTTTATACCCACTGAAAAACCACACACAAAATGAAAGGTTATAAAACAGTTTGGACTTGAAATTTTTTAAATTTGAAGTTGTCTTCAGAGTCTTTGTCTTCTAACTTCGTAATATAAAATATGTAAATTTTATAATGCCATTTTAAAATTCCATTACCTGAGCCTAGCTCTCTGCCCAGTGTTAAAGGAATCCTGGGAGTTCTTATCCATCAGTATGTGATGGGGAAAAGAGAAGCAGGAGTTTCCCCTTTGGCCCATGAACAGGCTAAAACCTGGAAGGCATGTAGGAAACGTGAGGAGAGGCCCTAACTCACAACAGCAGCTGAAGCAAATTCCAGCACGCCAGCATTGTATGGCACCGTGTTTATTGTGTCATGCCTTAGCTGTTTCTGTCCAAAGAATGTGGGGTCTCTTCCGAGTCTAGAGGCGTGGTCTCTGGGAATCTATCTCATAGATTCTGTCTTTACCACTCTCAGAACTGACTCTAGAATTTATCTCTGAAACCAATCTCCTCGCCTGCATTCCAGTTCTGAATTTCTATCAAAGGGTTGTCTTGGGTTGTCCTACCTGTACCTCAAACTGAAAGCAGTTTCCTCGGTTCTAAATCCACCCCTATTCCAGAACTCCCTATTTCTGTTGGTGGCACTTATCTCTCCTTGAGACCCACCTACCCCCTGCATCAATTCCAAAGTGCTATCAATGCCACATCCTTTTCTCTATTCCTCCTCATTCAACAGCCTTCCAACTGGTCTCCTTGTCCAGATCCTGTTCTCTCTAATCCTTTCTGGGCCTTGCTGCCAAACAAATCACAGCATTTAAAGGTCCAAGCTCACTAGCCTGCCATCTCAAGACCGCCACAGGCTAAACCCAAATCTCTGTTCCTTCTGGATCTCCCACTTCTCCCCAGGGAGCCCCTTATATGGCAGTTCAACGCAGTTGCTGGCCTTTCCTGGGACAATCCCAGGTTTCTCCCCATCAGGGTTCACTCATACTAGCTCCTCTGTCTGAAAGGGCCAGTGTTTACATAGCCAAACCTTCTAGATCCCACGGAAATTTTATTTCTGTCACTGTTTTTATTATGAAATTTCAGTGAACATACCCCTTGCCAATAAAAGGAAAATAATGATTGGATAAAGGTGACTCAAAGTTATTTGATATTCTATGATCATCACCATAGTGGCTAACATCTGTAGACCATTTCCAATGCTGCGGAAAACATCTATAGGCCATTTCCAATGTTCCAATGTTCCTAACACATGAATAAACTAATTAATTTAGCTTAAAAATTCTATGAGGTAGTAACTGTTATTACCCAACCTCAACTTACAGATGAGAAAACAGAGCATAGAAGTTCAGTAACTTGCCCAAGGTTATACAGTTAGTAAGCTGAGGGGAGGAAATGTGACATCAGTCACTGCTATCTCGTGATGATCTAAGGCAGCCATTCTCAATCTTTTTCATCTCATGGCACATATAAACCAATTACTAAAATTCTGTGGCTCACCAAAAATATTTTACTTTTTGCCTATCTGACAAATAAAAAAATTGGTATGATTTTGATTCACTCACACCGGATGGCTATTATTGTGTTGGTTGTCATTTTTTAAATCTGACAATCTAAAGGAAAAGAGGTCAGTACCCTGACTAAATAGTCAAGTATTGCATGGTCTGAAAATTCTTGAGGCAACCGGTTGAAAATCGCTGATCTAAGTTCCCGGTAGCTCCAAACAATACAACGGTTTTAGTGTTATAAAAATCCAGTATGTTAAAATAGAAAGGGAAAAAGTGCTCTAGAATTGCAATTCTTTGGCAGCCATAAGAGGTGGAAGTCAAGAATTAGTATTGGCAAGTAACTCCAAGTATATTTTCACTGGTCCTGGCAAGGCTGAGACTAGATGTTGATTTTCGCACACTATGGCACATGAAGCCAATAATATAAGGCTTAGTTTTGACCAACATGAAGCCACTAAGTAAGAAGACCTTAATTGATTCAGTCCTCCACTTGCTAATCTGTTTAGGTTTATACTTGGATAACTTGTATGCCCATCCTACCTTGAAATAAGTTGTGACTAAATTCTGTGGTATAAAATAAAATAACCAGTCTTTAACTTAACAATCTCATTTTTTTGCTTTTCAGAACACCTCTACAAGGATACAATTATTTATTCATTCAAAAATGCTCACTGCTCAAAGTACTAAGGGGGAAAAATATGTTATTTTTGTTATTCACTGATAAACACTCTTCCGCTTTTAAGAGGGGTACAATGTAGCAACAGAGAGAAGACTGAAGTAAGTGTAATGCTACTAAGGATAAAAGCAATAAACAACACGACTTTAACTGTGGGATGATATTGGTGGGGAAGCGGGGTGGCAGTTTTTGGCTAGGGAAAATCA